TTAATATTGACAAAGTATTAATGGGCACAGTAAGTTTGAAACTTACTGTCATGGCCCCTGTCATTTCAAATCCAATCAAGATTCAAAATCAAACTCTTCAACTGCTCTGCAAATTCAGCTCACTTTCCCAACTTCCTTATTTTGGTTGTTGATACCATTATTCTGCCAGCTTTCCAAAGTAGAGACCATGGCACATTCTCTGTGTAACTAATATGCCCTGCTGTGCCAGCTTAAGGGTACAATATGAAGTCATATGCCTTTTACCAATATGATTGAAGGTCTTTATGCTTCTGTCTTGCTTACTGAGAGGACTTTTCTTTCTCTCTAGCTTCCTCTTCCTCAGATAATTCCCGTGATTTCAGGAATGCTTATCCTGTGTAAGGTGTCAGTCCTAATTTACTACATTCATTTCTAGGCCAGAACATTAGGAAATTTACTCAGACCCTTGAGAAATGTCATTGTCTTCAGCTATTGTTTCAGTCATAGGCATATAAGTGAATGTATTAGTTTCTTAATGCTTCTGTGATAAATTACCACCAACTTAACAGCTTAAATAATACACATTTATTATCTTACAGTTCTGTAGGTCAGAAATTTTCCATAGGTCTCACTGGGTTAAAGTCAAAAGTATTGGCAGGGCTATGTTCCTTCTGGAGGCTATAGGGAAGAATCTGTTTTCTTGCCTTTGCTGGTTTCTAGAGGCTTCCCACAGTCCTTGATTCATAGCCCCCTCTCTCCATCTTCCAATCAGCAGTGTAACAAATATCTCACTTTGCTTCCATCCTCACAGCTCTTTCTCTGATCACAGCTGGGAAAGATTCTCGGCTTTAATGAATCATTTAATTGAATATGGCCCACATGGATAATACAGACTACTCTCACCACATAAAGGTTCTTAATTTAATTACATCTGCAAAGTTCTTTTGCCACGTAAAGTAACATAGTCACAGGTGTAAGGGAGTAGGATGTGGACATCTTTGAGGGGCCATTATTCTGCCTGCCACAGTGAGCATACCTATTGAGGCCACAGGATACAGTTGGTCTAGCTACCCCATTGCAGCCACTTTCCTCAATGCCACACTGACAGGATGTTAGTGACTGGAATGGTTTCCAGTTTCAGCTGCATTCATCCCTTGACTTTCATGTTTCTACTCATGATTAAACAGAAAGTCCCTGTTGCTCCTTGTCCCAAGGCCCATCCCCATGTCCAGTGACATGGAAAACTCATATTCTTACATTGCATTTTTCCTTTGTGAAAGTAAATAACATAATATTACCACACTATTTAAAATACCTCAGGGACATCTGGGTGGCTTAGTTGGTTAAGCATCTGACTCTGGATTTTGGCTCAGGTCATGATCTCATGGTTGTGAGATTGAGCTCCACATCATGGTAGGTGCTGAGTGTGAAGCCTGCTTGGGATTCTCTCTCTCCCTCTTTCTCTCTCTGCCCCTTCCCTGCTCATGTCCTCTCTCTCTCTCAAAATAAAAATAAATAAATAAAATTTAAAAAATAAAATATTTCAGTGCCTTTCCATTGTACTTGTTTCAGTACTAAACAGGCCCTTCATAATCTAGCCTTTGCATACCAGTCACCCTTGTTTCTCCCTTGCTTATGGAACCACAAGCACACTGAATTTCTTTCAGCTTCTCAAATGCATCAAGTTTTTTCCTGTCACACGCTCCTCACACTTACTATTCTCTCTTTAGAATGCTCTTGTTCACACACTTCATCTGGCCAACTCAGGTCTCAGTTTATGTGTCACTTCAGCGACACTTTCCCTGTGTTAGTTATCTAAATTATGTCCCTACTGTTATTCTTTTTCCATAGCACCTTAGTTTCTTTTATTATAATTAATATGTATCTATATATGTACTTATTTACTGTATTGTCAGTTTTCTTCAAAGGACTCCAAGTTATATGACAGCAGGAATCATATATCACTCTGTCCAATAAATTTATAAACTCTTTAAGAAACTGCCTAATTAAAGTTTGATCTTCCACAGCTCAGTAGGCAATGTCTTAGACACAGTTGGTAGGCGTTCCATAAATATTTATTCAATGAATCTTGGACTACTAATCTAGACTCCATGTTCTTTCTTTTCTAATTCACATAGCATAATATTCTAAGATATTGCTTCCATCATCTTAATCCCCTGCTGGAAAACCTATCCACACTTACCTATTTTATCAAATTCAACTTTATTATTTCTCCTCTCAAGTAAAGTATGTAGTATTTTATAATTCTCACAACTCAATACTTATCTACTCTCTCAAATGATTTCTAATTGTTTCTTATATGTGAATGCAGTTTGATTAAAACTGCCTTTGACAAAGCACCTAGGTTCGTTGAGTGATTCTTGATTTTGGCTTGGGTTATGATCTTAGGGTCGTGGAATTGGCCCTGTGTCAGGCTCTCTTCCTCTCTGTCTGCCCCTCTCCCCCGCTCATATGCTCTTTCTCTCTAAAACAAAAACAAAAACAAGGGGCACCTGGGTGGCTCAGTCGGTTAAGCATCTGACTTCGGCTCAGGTCATGATCTCATGGTTTGTGTGTTTGAGCCCTGTGTTGGGCTCTGTGCTGACAGTTTAGAGCCTGCTCCAGATTCTGTGTCTCCCTCTCTCTCTGCCCCTCTCCCATTCATGCTGTTTCTGTCTCTCAAAAAATGAATAAAAATGTTAAAAAAGAAATATTTTACAAATCCAGGAGCACCCGGCTGGGTTAGTTGGCAGAGCATGCGACTCTTGATCTTGGGGTTGTGACTTTGAGCCCCACATTGGGGGTAGAGGCTACTTTTAAAACATTTTTATGGACCCAAGTAATTAGAAGAATCTCCCGCAGATTATCTTCAGGCTCCCTAAGTTTCAGCTTTGTTTCTGCTCCACTATATGTATTTTTTGATGGTAAAACATAGGATACATTCAAATAGCTATAAAATGTCTGGCCCTGCACCTTTGTTTTACAATGATGGGTGGGTTGGCACAATGGGTGGTAGTATTCTTGGATGCCATTCCTACACTGGGACAGCTGGCAATATTTTAACTATGCATAGAAGTAACTGTGCGTTACAAAAATATATCCCGCTAAACTCAAACCAAATGTATTCTAACTCAACTTCCTGGGGCTAAATTTAAAAAATGCCTGCTAGCCACTCCTATATCACTGGACAAGGGGAAGTGTGACAGAGGAGAAATCAGTGAAGAAAGAGTTTGCAGTCTAAAGATTGCAGTTAAAATTTTTGTGAACTGTGTGCATATACTGCTAGGGCCCCTTCCAGAGCCTTGTAAAAGGCGAATGCCAATGAAGTCCCTGTCCACCCCCCCCCCCCCCCCAAGTTGAAGTTTTCTTAGCTTCACAGTAAATCTGCCTCAGGGTCTGGGGCCATTTTATTTATAGGGTGGATTGTCAATTTTCAGTCAGCTCAGACAGGGTCAGTGGATATGTTGATTACACCTCCATTTGAGGTAAGATTTGCCTCTTGTGTCAAAGGGCTCTGTTTTTTGCTTAGACTAGAAGTTTTCAAACTCTTTGATCTCATGACCATCTCACTCCTAAAAAGTACTGAGGACTCCAAAAAGCTTTTTGAGGATATCTATCAACATTAATGGTATTAGGAGTTAAAATAAACATATAAAATATTTATTAATTCATTTAAAAATAAAGAACAATAAAGCTGTTACATGTTAGCATAAATAACAAATTTTAATGAAATATAACTATTCTTTCAAAGCAAAAAGCATTTAGTGAGAAGAGTCATATTTTACATTTCTGCAAATCTCCATATCTAGCTTAATAGAATTCTCATATCTGCTTCTGCATTGAATCTGTTGCAATATCACCTAACATGTAGACTCTGGAAAAGCCCAGTCTTAGTATGAAATAATTTTGACCTTGTGGACCCCCAACTACACTTTGAGAACCTCTGAGTTAGACATCATCATATGTACTTTCTGGATGCCTAGAGCTTCCAAAGTACCCGCTCTCTGTATCTATTTAATCAACTCTGCCTCCTAGATAAGAGTCAAATGTTAATTTTTGCTAAGTTTTTTGGTATACATGGAAAACTTTAGAAACAATTTTTAATGAATCACAAATCTTAGAGAAGTCATTCTTCTCTTACTGACAAGGGTCAAAGTATCTCCTTCATTATCTGCTCCCTGATAGCAAGGCTTTCTTCTTTTAGGAATATAATGGCCAAGGCAAATGTTAGAATAAGACCAAACACAAGATTGGATGCCTTATAGGGTATAACGACACCATCTAGTATTTACTCAGTATTTGCTCAGTCCTTTCTGCGTGCTAGGAATGCACGAAGTGCTTTACATACATTATCTCATTTAATTCTCACAGCAATCCTATGGGATACCTACCATCTTTCCCGTTTTACAGACAAGGAAACTGAGATAAAGACAGGTTCATGCCCAGCTCAGCTGGGAACTGAACCCCAACAATCTGTCTCCGGAGCCCACAGTCCATTATCTACTGATAAAGTATAAAGGTGGTAGATAGAGTGAGATTTGTATAAAATGACATAAGAGGTGAAAAAGGGGATAAAGCAAAAAGCCTCAGGGCCAAGACAGCAGACAAACTAACAGGGAATGCATTGTATTATTTTCCACCCGAGGCTTCTTTTTAGCTTCATTTTCTACGCTCCCATGTTCCTCTTCTCATATTTAAGTTATCTCATTGCTGGTGGTTTCGACGCCCAGGCCTAGGCTGATCTTGAAATTAAGGCGTTAAACAACCTGATGAACAGCAGCAGCGAGGCAAATCCGAGGTAACGAAGGTGACGGTGGCGTGGCGAGAGGCCTGCGCAGGCGCATCACAACCCCAGGCCCGCCCGCTGTCCCCCTCCTGCCTAGGACTCTGGGGCTGGTGGGAGTACGGGTGTGGGCCGCGGGCGCGGACCGGAGGGAGGTGCGGGCAGGGCGCCTGCGCAGTCTCCGGGGCGCTGGTGTGATTGAGCTCACGTAGCGAGGGCTGCAGTCGCCTCCTCCCTAGCGCCGCCGTCGCAGCCTAGAGGTTATAAAAGGGCTAACTGGCTCCCTCTGCTGCCCAGTCGCGCCGCCAGCGGGCTGAGGGGAAGGAGCAGGTATCGGGCCCAAGAGCAGGCTACAGGGGACTGAAGAACGCGCCGCCCCTCCCGCCCCACTTCCCAGGTGAGACGCTTCCCCGACCCTGGGGGCTGTAGCTTCGGCCCTAGGACCGCTGTGGCCCTTCTCGGACGGCTGTGGCGGCCCGGTCCCTCCCTTCTCTGGTGGGATGGCTTGGGAGCGGAGGGTCCTCCAGTTTACCACAGTGGCCTTAATACCTTCATTTCTGGAGACTCGGCCTCGCGCCCCGCGCCCCTTGGCTGCCCCAGAGGCCCTACTGCCCTTCTCCGTGCTCCCCTTCCCGTCTCCTGCCTGGTCGGCGCCCCCGACCGTTGGGGCTGCGGCAGTCTCTGTCTCCGCCCTGGGGACCAGGACTTTCTTGAATATTCCTTCCTTCCCGGGGAGGGCTCACCCTGTTGATTGTTCCGAGCTCTCCTCATACCTGGTCCTCCCTACAAAAGCTGGGGGGAACGCGAGGGCGGGGCGTGGGTTTCTGGCCTTCACCGCCGCAGATGGTTAGCATGTGGCCGGGTAAAGAGCGGGTTTTAAAGCTTAGAGCAGGAGCTGAAGCACTCGAGGCGTTTCTACCCTGTCGAAAAGTCGTCGGGTCTGGGAAGCGGACCCAGCTGGAGAAGTTCAGGCTCGACTCATCTGTTGCGCGCAGCGGTGCTGCTGGAGCAGCTAGATGCAGCCCGGGGCGCCGAGTTTCGGGCTGCTCGGTTGAGGAAGGCGGCTGTCAGATCACCCGGTCGTCGGGAAAGCTGCTCTTCCTTCCCTCTTCCTCCACGATTTTTTTTTAAAGGCACAAGAGCTGCGCACCACCCCCCCCCCCCCCCACACTTTCTTTCTCTCAGCAGAGAGTTTGCTGCTTCTAAAAGTCCACATCATTAAAACGAGTTCCATGGTTGTGTGAGAATTTTGAGTTGGATTGCACGAATGGCCCCCCAGATACATGTTTTAAAGGGGGAGGATGAATGGTACCATCTCGCCTATTTCTAGGGGACTATTTCTCCTAAATAATCGAATGTATTAAATACAGTTCAGTTTTTAGACACAAACCTGCGTTCCGGGGAGTGAAGACTCTTGGAATTTTGCGCTGTTTGCTTTAAGAAAGGGATGATGAAGAAGCTAGCTCTCCTTTTAGGAATTGATCTGAAAGGCCACAGAGGCTTGCCAATTTCAATTTAACTGTTTCTGGTTTCTCCGAGAGCTGTGGCTCCCGGACTTTCCCTTGGAATGCACTCCAAAGGGATGAAACAGCCACTACGTGAGTGGGGGAGGGGAAAAGACGTGGCAGCAGTGTTCTTTCATAGTTTTTGCTCATTAAAAAAAAAAGTTTCTGGGAAGAAACGTGTTTCCACTTTTAGGTTTAGATGTGTGAATAGCCTTATGAATGAGGCTAGTCTTCTGAAATAATCAGATGAAATAGCAGGAACATTGGAATCTAATTTATAAAACCTTCTGAAAGGATTTTCTGGTCGAGTTTCTATGGAGCAAATGGATACATACCTTAAGGATACATACCTTAAGAAAATATTCAATAAGCTGAAAGTGAACAACCGTTAACATGTTTTGCCTCCATTTAAAGGTTAAATAGACATTATGTGTTTTTTTTCTTTAACTTTGGCTTTTTGGCCTGTGAGTATAATTTCAGAATTTTAAGAACCTTGAATTTTACCTTTTCCTTTTTGTGGGAAGTGTACGTTTTATCACTTACCTTTAAAAGCCATATCAGTTTTGGTTTTGAAACGTTATGCCTTAAGTCCTGCCAGTATTTTAGATAGCTGATGGCAAGTGCTTTTTTTAACATAGACTAACTAGGAAGAGGACTACTTTGTGTCCTTTTAGATGGATTATGCTGTTTCCTTTGAGATCGTAAAATGAGTTTTATTTTGAAGTACTAAAAGCCAGGACTTTGGTAAGCAGATAATTACATTTGGCATTTTGTGTCTTGGTAACTAAGGTAGTAAAACAGATAAAATAAATATATATAACTTTTAATTACCATAGAACAATTTAGACAGTGCAAAAGACTATTGAAAAAAGAAAGCTTTTCTGTCACCTAGGTGGTCCAGGTTGTTGCAGGTGAATCTTGGCTTTTTGATAAAGAGGTGTTAGTTAACCTTTTCTAATACTGCAGAGCGGGTTGTATACTGGCAAGCAGTGTCTTTCATAAGGTGATTAAGTTCAAACTCCTGCTTTTATTCCAGGGATGCAGCAAGAGTTATTCTGGGGACCCAGTGGTAAAGCTGCAAGCCTTCTTTTCTGTGGAAGGAATGCCTTAATTTATTTAGCAATTAATTATCAACTGGGATATAATTACTGCTCTTAGGTTTGAAAATGTGCCCTGTGAGATACATAGTAACAGTTCTCAACTTATTTTAAGGTCATGAAATCCATTGCCAATCTGACAGAGGTATGGATCCTGGGTCAGAAAATGCAAGTGCAAACATCTGCATGGAATATTCTATACCATTTATAGATACTCCCCTCCCCCAACCCCACACATCTGTAAATTATCATAAGGATAAAAAAAGTTAATCTTTAAGTACATCTAGGTATCTTGATGCAGTATTTCTTGAATATTTATGAAAATGGAACTGAGCTTCTAAGTCTGATTGGACTTGAGTATATAGATGACAATAATAAACTTTTGCTGAAAGAGTTTTAACAGAAGTTAAAGAATTATTAAGTTGCTAAATTGCCTAGGCAATCGTATATTACATTGCTCCCCCTTCTGGCTTCCCCTTCTGTGTTGTAATATCTCTGTTGTAATATCTCTTTGGTTCTATTCTGAAAGTGGAAAATGCTTGAATGTAAACAAAAATAAATTGCATAGGCCTTTGGCATTAAACCAGTCCTCTTCTTACAGTGAGAACTTAAATCTTATAATTAAATCATAATGGTGTGTGTACAATATATGAATATGTAAGAGACAAGCCAAATAAAGTGTGCATGTGTATTTGTGAAACTAGTTAAAACTTCATTCATGTTTCTACTTAATGAAATTTATTTGTATAAATTGAAGCTATCTTCTCATTAGTTTTTTTCTGGCCAAATATTGTGCCTTAATAAAAACTAGAAATTCAAAAGTCTTCATTAAAATTACTCTAGCAATGGGGTGCCCCGGTGGCTGAGTTGGTTAACAGTCAAGCCCTTGATTTCAGCTCAGATCATGATCTCACGGTTCATAAGTTCGAGCCCTGCATTTGGCTCTGTGCTGACAGTGTGGAGCCTGCTTGGGATTCTCTCTCTTTTTCTCTCTCTCTCCCTCTCTCTCCCTCTCTCTCTCCCTCTCTGTCCCTTCCCAACTCATGCTATCTCTCTCTCAAAATATATAACTAAACTTAAAAAAAAAAGATTACTCCAGTAATTTTTGAACTTGGTATAATGAAAAACATTCCTTTTCCTGATGTTGATTTGGATGATAAGTTTGACTATTAGTATATTTGGTTGGACATTGGCAAAAATACAGTACAGGATTCATGCTTCTTACATAGTGTCATCTGTGAATGCATACTATCTTAGACTTCTTCCTCTTCTTGCTTAGTGTTTCATATAAATATGTCCATGTTTTGGTGGTTTACCTATTTTTCATTTAAATAGTAATGTTATAATATGTTAAATTAATGTACTCATCCTTTTTTTCTTGTTGGGCATTTGAACTGCTTCTCCATTATAAGTAGTGCAAAGAGGCGGCTATAAATTAGTGGTTGTATAGCTACAATAAACTTTAATCAGTTTTCTATCTATGCAGATAGAAACACTTGACAATAAACCTTGAAGCATCAGTAATTTTTCTTACCCCTGAAAGAATTTTCTAGGGGCATTGGACTAGGCTCTAAAAAGAGATTTTTTAAATCTACTTGATAGTAATGAAAGTACTTTATATTTTTTAAAGTGTTGTTTCATATATAATTTGATCCTTAAAATAATTCTGTGAGGTAGTTTTATATCACCCCCATTTTACAGATGAGGAAACTGAGGCTCAGAGAAGTCAAGTAATTTGCCCAAGAATACAGTAACTGTCAGCACTAGAACTTGGACCCAGGTTGTCTGTTTTCTGATTCACATTATTTAATTCCCGATAATTGATCAGATTGAGTTTGAGGAAATAGAATGGGTAAAAAATCAATTTACTGTATTACCAATGTATTATAAATGTTGAAATAAGGTAGGGTTCCTGGTTAGTAGTGACTAACTTAATCATTCCACTTAATTGAATTTAACTTTAATTTATTTAGTTTTTTAAACATGGGAGCATTTAAACAATTTTTTTTAAATTTGTTTTTATGTTTATTTTTGAGAGAGACAGACAGACAGATAGCATGAGCAGGGGAAGGGCAGAGAGAGAGGGAGACAGGGAATCTGAAGCAGGCTCCAGGCTCTGAGCTGTCAGCACAGAGCCCGACTCGGGGCTGGAACTCACAGACCACAAGATCAGGACCTGAGCTGAAGTCAGAAGCTTAACCAACTGAGCCACTCAGGTGCCCCCACTCAATTTAATTTAAAAAAAAAAAAATTTTTTTTTTTCAACGTTTATTTATTTTTGGAACAGAGAGAGACAGAGCATGAACGGGCGAGGGGCAGAGAGAGAGGGAGACACAGAATCGGAAACAGGCTCCAGGCTCTGAGCCATCAGCCCAGAGCCCGACGCGGGGCTCGAACTCACGGACCGCGAGATCGCGACCTGGCTGAAGTCGGACGCTTAACCGACTGCGCCACCCAGGCGCCCCTCAATTTAATTTTAAAAGCATTTATAATGTGCCTGGTAGCCTATGGGAAAATCCAAAGAGTGATGAGAAATGTTTTGTAGGAGAAATAAGACAGGAAAGTTACATGCTATACAAAAACAGTACCAACATTTTACTTGATATTAAATCTGAGTATGTGTTGAATGGAAACCCGTATCTAGATTCACATTTCTGCAACCATGAATTTATCTCTCCCTATTCCAGTGTATGTGATTTTATTTCATATATATTTTTCTGAACTTGACAGCTTTGGATCTGGCATTAGAAAAAAAGGAGGGAATTGAAGGCTAGAATGAGTAGAGGGAAAGAAAA